CATCAGACACAGATTCCCCATCTCTCTCCTCCCTTGTCACCATGAATGTCTCCTTTCTTGACTATTATCTTGTTCCCACAACCCCAGGTCCTGTTATGAAATGGGTTACTTACAGCACAATCATTTTATTTTCAACTTCTCACATCCCCATTATCAGCTATCTAGCTTGTCTTATTTCCTGACTTACTATCAACAATCTTTTTGTCTGCCTACCCTTTTTTTCCCCTCTCACTCTGGGTTCTGTCTCCATCTATATGCTCATTGCTTCTGTTCTCCAGCGCCCATCTTCTGCATAAATATCGCCTTTTCCCAGCTCTTATAGTTCTGAAGAAGGGTCGCTAGATATGAAAGATTAAGTCTATTTTCTGTCCATTGATGCAGCCAGACCTGCTGAGTTTCTCTAGCAATTTTTGTTTTTGTTTGCTTGTATCACCTGTGTATCTTTTAATGTGTAACATCTTGGACGTAGTTAATTTTATCTGTCTTAGTTGTGCAAAGTTGCAAATTTTGTGCAGGATCATATTTCTCTGTCTGGTTGTTCAATTAGATTCACTTACAATCGTCCTTGGTTTTACTTTGACTGAAGTTGCCTCACTTGCCTTGCACTTCTGAAACCAGACTGAAAATGAAAATTAGAAAGTGTAGGTGCCTTAGCAACTAACTGCTTCCTATTTTCCAATGAAATCCCTTATACACTAAGAATGATCAAGCATACCCATTACAATTGAGCTTGTGTATCAGTCCTGAACGTTTTGAATAACTTTCATTACTTAAGATGTCATTCCCTTTGAAAGAAAGTCAGGGGAGTTGGAATTTGTTTTCTGAGACCTTGAATGTTGTGTGAATGCTCTACTAGATCTGAGAAAACTAGTTCTAAACAATTTGTTCTCCTTACAGAGCTTTACTAAAATGTTGAAACTTGCATACTGTTGCTTTCAGCCTACAGCAATGGCTCATTGGAACTGAAGCTCTCTGGTTCACTTAGCTTAGAAAATTTAAAGTGCATGGAATTTTATCGAGCTCACTGCACACTTGCTGGTGTTGCAAAACCAACTGAAGTTTTCTTTTTATTTTGAGTTGCTTTATTACTAAACAGAAGTGTGTAAGACTTTAGTTTCAAGTGACAAGATTCTTTTACATAAACTTAAAGTAACTTCTTGCCACAGATGTTTAGTGCAGAAATAGTTCAGGTTATATGAAAAAAAAATTATGAAAAGAAAAGGCATTGCGACACAGTGCTTTCTAAAAATGGTTGGGAAGAGAACATAAAAATGAGGGTAGTGATTTGACTGATCTTGTTTGCAGAACTATTATTTTTCTGAAGAACACTCTGAAGGTGTTACTGCTTTGTATGACTTCTAGGATTCGTAATTAGATACCTACCTCATCATTGTCAAACTTAATATATATTTTCATGAGGGTCAGACAACCTAGAGGAAGAAATTTTACATCCATTCTCTAGTTGGTTTATTGAATGGCTTACGTCTCAACTTTATTTCTTGGATCATTACCACAAATACGCTTTAGAGTAATTGATGTCCTGTATTAACAGCATGAAAGTCACTGATAGGTACTGCAGATTTTAGAATTTCATATCTTGATTTGAAATGAAGCTCCATAGCATTCATGGGTTGTTTAATGTTTTGTTAATAGTCATACAGAAAGCATTGAAAAATATGAAAGGAATTTGATAGACAATCCTCATTAGACTCCCTTTGGTGCTTGTGTGAGTTTTGAATTCACTTTTTATAGCAGGTTAATATACCCACAGTTTTGGATTATCGGTTTGATCTTAATTTACTGGCATGGAAAGCTAATTTGCTGCTTTGGCGTTTCAGTCCAGATTACAATGAATTCCTTGATTAATCGCTCAAATTTTAGGTTGAGAATAGATTTGTATAATCGCTCCATTTTAGTTATTCCTTAAAATAATAATTTCTCAAGTAATTACACTTAGAGTCATAGAGTCATACAGCACGGTAACGGACCTTTTGATCCAACCAGTTCATGCCAAACATACTCCCAAACTAAACTAGTCCTACCTGCCTGCTCCTGGCCCATATCCCTCCAAACTCTTCCCATTCATGTACTTATGCAAATGTCTTTTAAACCTTTTGTAATTGTACCCACATCCACCGCTTCCTCAGGAAGTTCTTTCCACATGAGAACTACCTTCTTTGTATAAAAAAATTTGCCCCTCATATCTTTATTTTCAAATCTTTCTCCTCTCAGCTTAAAAATGTGCCGCCTAGTCTTGAAATCTTCCATTCTAGGGAAAAGACAACTACCATTAACGATCTATATGCCTCATTATTTTATAAATTTCTATTTTGTCGCCTTTCAACCTCCTATGCTCCAGTGAAATAAGTCCACACCCAGCAGCATTCTGGTAAATCTCTTCTGAACCCTCTCTAGCTTAATAATATCTTTCCTATAACTGGCTGACCAGAACTGGACATAGTATTCCAGAAGAGACTTCATCAATGCCCTGTACAACCTCAACATGTCTTCCCAACTCCTATACTCAAAGGACTGAGCAATGAAGGCAAGTGTGCCAAATCCCTTTTTAACTGCCCTGTCTATATGTGATACAAACTTCAAAGAATTATGTACCTGCACCCCTAGGTCCCTCTTCTACAACACTAGCCAAGGCCCTACCATTAATTCTATAAACTTTACCCTTGTATTTTTCTATATTGAATTCCATCTGCCATTTTTCAGCCCTTTGACTCATTTGATCAAGAACACTTTGTAATCTTAGAAAACCGTCTTCGCTGTCTACTATGCCACCAGTTGTGGTGGTGTTTGCAAACATACTAAACATGCATCCTAAATCCTCATCCAAATCATTGATATAAATGACAAACAAAAGCAGACCCAGAAATGACCCCTGTGGAACACTGCTGATGACAGTCCTCCAGTCTGTAAAAACAACTCTCCACTATCAGTGTCTGACTCCTGCCATTAAGCCAATTATGTATCCAATTGGCAAGCTCACCTGCAATCCCCTGTGACCTGACTTTACTGATTAGTCTACCATGTGGAACCTTGTTGAAGGCTTTACTAAAGTCCAAGTAAACATCATCTCTTGTCCTGCCCTGAGAATCCTTTTTTTGGTAACTTGCTCAAAAAACTCAATCAAGTTTGTGAGACACAATTTCTTTGTACAAAACCAGCTGACTATCCCTTGTCAATTTTTGCTTCTCTTAATGTTATTTAATCCTGTCTTTTATAGTCACCTCCAACAACCGATGTCAGACTCGCCGGACTATAGTTCCCCAGTTTCTCCTCACAACCTTTCTTAAACAAAGGTACAACATTAGTCACCCTCCAGTCATCAGGCACCTCACCCATAGTTATAGATGCAAATATTTCTGTAAAAGATTTCGGAATTTTCTCTCTTACTTCCCACAATGTTATGGATTATATTAGATCAGGTCTCGGAGATTTATCTACCTTTATATTATCTAAGACCTCCCGTATGTTCTCTTCTGTAATGTTATCTGTTTGTAAAACATCGAAATTTATTTCTCTGCATTCTCTAGACTTTCTCCACACTAAAACTAATGCAAAATATTCATTTAGTATCTCACCCATCTCCTGGGGTTCAACACAAAGATGACCTCTTTGATCTTTAAGAGGCCCTGCCCCCTCTGTAGTTACCCTTTTGCTCTTTATGTATTTGTAAAATTTTTTTGGATTATCCTTAACCTTACCTTCCAATGCTCATGTCCCTGTTTGCCTTCCTGATTTCTTTCTTAAGAATGCCCCTGCACTCTTTATATTGATTAAGAGATTCAATTGAACCAAGTTGTCTATATCTAAAATAAGATTCTGTTTTATTCTTGTCTAGAACCTAAATACCTTTATTCATCCATTGTTCCTTAATCTTACCAGCCTTACTCTTCACTCTAACAGGAATATAATGCCTCTGAACTCTCGTCATCATATTTTTGAAAGCCTCCTACTTGTCAGTCGTCTCTTTACCTGCAAACAGTCTATTCTAATCAACTTTTAAAAGTTCTTGACACATACCATTAAAATTTGCCTTACTCCAGTTAAAAACTTTAACTTTTATGGAAGGCTTGTTTTTTTTCATAACCAGTTTGAAACTAACTAATTATGATCGCTAGACCCAAAGGCACAACGAGTTTGTTGTTTATTTTATATGCAACATTTACCTCTGTAGGTCATTTGCCATCCATGCTAGTAAAATAATAAGTGGGCTACCATATTTTGGAAATATTGAGAGGCAGTTGGCATTTACAAGGTTAGAGTTCTATTTCAAACTGCTCAAGGTTAATTTAAATAGCATGTGTTAGATTATCATACGATGCTTGTCTACATTTCTCACCTTTCATCAAATGGAATCTGGAGCCCGTTACTGAAGATTTACATTTTTATTATGTTCAGTTGCAAGTAGGTATTTTGTCTTGCCCAAAAGTGAGGTTGTTGACTTGCTCGCCGAGCTGGCTTGTTCTCGTTCAGACGTTTCGTCACCATGCTAGGTGACATCATCAGTGGAAATGTCTGAACAAGAACAAGCCAGCTCGATGAGCAAGTCAACAACTTCACCCACAACCCGAGCTACAGATCTTGGCCAAAACTTTGACCAAAATTATTACATTCCCCTAAAGACATTAGGTAACTTAGAATCATAGTAGTGTGTTTAAAAACTTGTAATAGGAAGAAATTATTAGATCTCCTATTGTGTAGGATTATCTTCAATCTTCATACAGAAGGACCTTCCGCACTTCCACACACCTGTACGATAGACACATTTTGTTCTTCTTGAAAAAGTCGGTTATGCACATTGCTACTGCGGTATCTATTCCAATTTGTTACTTTTATTAAGTGGAGGATGTCTCCATTCTAAAAATGAAACCGTCCCTGCAGGAAAGAAAATTTGATTTTAGAAGGTTGTTCGCTTCTGTCAATAATTTCACTAATTCCCTTTTTTTTCTGAGACTGAATTTGGAATCTTCACTTTGTTTTTATAGCAAAAAATCAGTTAGAATTCTGTTGCCACATGCTAAGAGGAACAGTAGACCCTGAAGAACCTCCTGTATATGAATATGTAAAATTCATAGGGAATTTAAAATCACTGAATAGTGGTAAGTTGTTTTCAACCATTAATTTGTATATTTGATTTTCTGTGTAATGTTTGCTTCAGTCTATACTTGCTGTGTTTTTAAAAACATTAATATGTAGAAGAGATTTATGATTTTTGAGACTTGGTCTGGGTTTATGTTGTTAGTCAATATTTTCACTTGTCATGTACTTATTATCAGTGCCGTTACATACGATAGTGGAGTTGAAGTGTAATTTCCTGCATTCGTGGGACAATTTCCTGATTACTTGAATTTAAAAGAATGTTCAATTAACAAAATGCAAACTGACGAGCAATCTTGATTTTCATTTTACTGTCATTTTGTGTTTGTGTATGAGATTTCAGGTTGTTGAAATTAGATTTGAAGGTTTTAAATATTGAACAATATGCAGAAGTTAAATCCAGTAACAAAATTTTGAAGTATCTTAACAACATCTAGCTATTTAGTTCATTTCCAATATTAATTCAGCAGTTTCTTTAGCCATTTATCTCTGATAATATTGAGGGTGTGCATGATTTTTAAAGCTGACAGAATATATTCCGATATGTTTGAAAAAACTTGATTCTTCTGACTTGTGGACTAGCAATATGTCCCTAAATTTCTGGAGTGGAGAATGGAGCCATAGAGTACTGATCTGAAGGCGAGTGTGCCATCACTCGGCATAGGGAATATTGAGAGTTAGGTGGTACAGAGGTTGAATAAGTAGTTCGAAGGTAGGGATTACAATGGGAGTGAGTGATGGTACTGAGACAGTGATAGAAACAGGAGAAGATAACAGTAATATAAAGTTAAAAGGAGTTCTGTAGAAGGGACATGTAGGAGAAGAGCACAAATGATGCCAAAAGAGGATGGGAAAGGAGCTATCAATAGTTTGCTCATTTAGAAAATGTGACACACAGCTCTGTGACTCCTCTCCCTCCCATACTGTTGTCTGGATTTTACATACTTCTGCTGGACTAGCCCACCACCCCCATATTGTGCCAGATGGGCAAATGCCCAAATCAGCAGCCCATCAACTATATCATAAATGAGTAATTATAGGTCAATTAGGCTTATTAATGAGCCTCTTGACGGGAGCATTATGCTGGCCACTCCATAATATGGTTGGTATTGGCAGTTAGATGAAAGAAGACAGCATGTTCCTTTTTAAAAAAGTGTGGGCAGCAAAGGGTGAGTACTACCTTGTAAGAGTTGGTCTTTGAGCATCAGGGAAACTTCCACTGAAGATTGTACCCCTACCTCCCTCATTTTACGTGCTTTTCCAGCTGCTCCCTAACAACCCAACTCCCCCTACCTCACCTGAACTAACGTGACCAAACCCTTCCCTCCCAGTATCCTCACTTACCTCACTCCAGAATCCATTGGGCCTTCCTTGTTGTATACAGTCCCAGCATCCCTTGCTACTGAGCTCTTGTTGCTGTTGGGATTACTGGAGCTGCTGACTGAGAAGGTCCAACTGTCCATTGTTTAGCCCACTCACAGGATGTTATGGTGCAGAGCATGCTTTTTAGTCAATTGGCTGCTCACATAATGTCTTTCTTGGGATGGGGCATGCCTTGTCTCGTACAATTCTATTCTATGTTGAAGAAGGTTAACTAAGATTACAAACAGATCTTGAACAATTAGGCTAATGGACCAAGAAGTGGCAGATGAAGTTTAATTTGAATAAATGCAAGGAGTTGCATTTTGGTAGGACAAACAAGCCAGGACTTATACAGTTAATGGTAAGGCACTGGGGTGCATTGTTGAACAGAGAGACCTGGGGTTCAGGTACATAGTACTTTGAAAGTTGCATCACAGGTAGTTAGGGAGGTAAAGATGGCATTTGGCACACTTGCCTTCATTGCTCAGAAGATTGAGTGTAGGGGTGGGGACATTATGTTGCAGTTGTAAGGAAAATTGGATTACTGTGTACAGTCCTGGTCGCCTTGCTACAGGAAGGATATTATTAAATTGGAGAGTATGCAGAAGAGATTTTGAGGATGTTACTGGTACTGAAGGGTTTGAGTTATAGAGCGAAGCTGGATAGGCTTGGATTTTTATTCACTGGAGCGTAAGAGGTTGAGGACTGACCTTCTGGAGGTTATAAAATTATGAGGGGCATAGCCAAGGTGAATAACGAAGGTCTTTTCCCTAGAGTAGGAGAGTTCAAAACTAGAGGGCATATTTTTAAGGTGAGAGAGATTTAGAAGGTGCCTGCGGGCAACTTCTTCACACAGAGAGTAGTTCATAGTGGAATGAATTGCCAGTGGAAGTGCTAAATGCAGGTACACTTACAACATTTAAAAGACATATGGACAAACACATGAATAGGAAAGGTTTAGAGGGATATGGGCCATACACAGGTAAATGGGACTAGTTTAGTTCGGGAAACTTGGTCAACATGGATGAGTTGAACCAATGGGTTTGTTTCCGTGCTGTATGATTCTATGACGCTATCACTCTGTTACGTATAGTCATTCTTAAAGGTGGGAAGTTTTAAACTGGTTTTATTCTCTGTTCATTGTTAAATGTCTTCCTGTATCTGCATTATCTATATATCTTTTTAAAGTTTTAAGTAATGTCCTTCTTTCTTCAATTGAAAACAAATTAAATGCAAGTCTCTGCATAGTATATAACCCTTGCCCTGAAGTCTTTCTCTGAACTTTTTCTCTCAGTTCTCCTGAATACGTTTATGTCCTTCAGATGCATGAAATTGTGCACAATGATAAATGAAAGTAGGCCAATTAAAATGGCATTTTTTTTATTAAACTGTTTTCAAAAGTGATCTTCGTTGTGACATGTCTTTTGAACATTTATGTTTCTAAATTTACTATCTTTACTGAGATTTCTATTTTGTTTGTAAAGCTATCAAGTTATGACTTTCTTTATTTCATTCAGTACCTAGATCTCCACGAAATGGATTTGAAGGAGTTATACTAAAGCCAACTTATGAAAAAAGAGTATGCTTTGTAGCAACTGTCAGATTAGCCACACCACAATTTATTAAGGTACGGTCATATTTACACAAAAACCTTCTGATTTTGGTTGCTTGCCTATCTGATGTATGCACCAAAGCTTTTCTTTTGTGTAAAACAATTTTTCTCATTGTTTCTCTTTTTTTTATTTACAGGAAATGTGCACTATTGAAGAACCAAATGAAGAATTTACATCAAGACACAGCTTGGAGTGGAAGTTTTTGTTCCTTGATCATAGGCATGTACCCAAATTTCTTTTAAAGTAAATCATTTTAACAGGAAGTGAGAAATAGTTTTAAAAACATTTATCGGTTGCTTTCAACAAAGAAAATATCATAAAAAAACTTTTACAGTAGAAAGGATATTGGTCTGACGTAGAGATTGGACGGTGACCAAAAGCTTTGTCAAAGATGTGCATTTTAAACAGTGGATTTTTAACGATGATTTGTAGTTGAAGCCACCAGTGATGTGGTGTTTAGATGGGGTTGGGTTTACGCGCATGAATCCAGAATCAAAAGACTGGAGAGTTCTGGTTGTGGGAGAGAGGTACTATTATGTAGAAAGGATAGGCAAGGGCAGAAGGATGAAAGTAACAAATTTGCGTTGTTGGTAAAACACTAAAGCAATCAAGTAATGAGGATTTGAACTTCAGAAAAACTGAAGGATGAATAGCTGTGGATCATTTGGAGAATTAGGGGTTAGCGAAGGTTGTGATATGGAGAACACTGTGTTGGAATCATAGTTCAGTTTTGAAATTACAGGTAGCCTGATTCAGCCTGAGGTGGTGGTGAGAAATTGGGTTTCAGTGTGGTAGTTACTGTACAATACTGCATTAACTGTGAGGCAGAAGTAACTGTATATAAGAAAGATGGTGGATATATTTTCAGACCGTAGAGCTTTTTGACAAACAGTGCATGCAGGTTTTATTATTTATTTCCTCCATTGTTAACCAATGACTGAATCACTTGAGGTCAGAGATCAGAAAGTATTCAAGATCAGGAACAATCAAAAATAATCTAAACTGGGAATAAAACATGGAGGACATTAGAAGTTGGTTTAAATACAATGATAAATGTAGAAGGAAAATGCATAAAATTGAAGAAATGCTCTGGCAACTTAATCTCCAAAGTTCCTTCAAGTATGTATTCTGAGGTTGAATTGATATACTAACTAAATGTATGCTGCATCTTGTTATCTCTACATAGACTAACAGAGTGTATTAATTTAAATGAACACCTAAATTATAGAGATGTTGTTTAGTAAGGCATAAAATATACTTCAAAAGCAAAGTAGTTCGAATTTACAGCATCTGGAATAAAAACAAAAAATGCCCTGCCAGTATGTCAACATATGTAGAAAGAAAAATAAAGTCAATGTTTCCTGTTGTGATGTTTTATCAGAACTGTTGGTCACAATCTGAAATGTAAAATGCATTGTCTGAAATTTATTAATTTAGAAACAAACCTTCCCAGATACGAATTGATCAAACATTAGTAAGTTCAACAAATATTAATTTTGTTTTTGCATTAGGAAATGTATGTAATACTTTATCAACTACTTTAAATTGAATAATCTGTACAAAAATAATTGATGCTATGGAAATCAAGTGTTTTAATTAGCATATTAATTGCTAGGTTTTAAGAACATGTGCAGAAACTTAGAAAATAGGTGCAGAAGTAAGCCATTCAGCTATTTGAGCCTAATCTGTCATTCATATGATCATTCCCAGTCACCCAACCCTGATCCTGCCTGTCCCCATACCTTTGATCTCTTTAATCTTAAGAACTATATCTAACCCCTTCTTGAAAATATTCAATGTTTTGACCTCAACCATTTTCTATGGCAGAAAATTCACTCTCAGGGTGAAGAAATTTCTCCTCATCTTAGGCCTAAGTGGCCAACCCTTTCGACTTTTACCCCTATTTCTGGACTCCCCAGTCGTAGGGTAAACCCAAGAAGAACGTTCCCAATCTAGTCCTTTTAGAATTTATAGAATTAGAATTTCTGAGACCCCACCCCAACCTCATTCTTCTAAGTTCCAGTGACATAGTCCTAACTAATTCTGTCTCTCTTTGTACATCAATCTTGCCATCCCAGGAATCATTCTGGTAAACTTTTGTTACACTCCCTTCGTAGCTAGAATATGCTTCCTCTCAGCTAAAAAGACCAAAACAGTAAACAATACTCAGTGTGCCCTCACCAATGATTGGTGTGTAATTGCAGCATCCATGCTTCACTCAAATCCTGTCACTACAAAAGCCACTTACGGAAAAAAAAACTGTCTATTCCTACTCTTTGTTTCCTGCCTGCCATCCATATTGGTACACCTCCAAATTGCTTTAAATTTACATGCTCGTCCAAGTAAACTAATCAACCAATTAACAGTTCTGAGAAAGGGTCACTCGACCCAAAACGTTAAATCTGATTTCTGTCCACAGATGCTGAGCTTTTCCAGCAATTTCTGTAGAGATAAGGTACCCTTCTACATCTGTGAAATGTTGAAGTCTCTTTTGATTTTTGTACTTGATCTAGGGCACCTCCAATAATAGGTTATTTACCATTCGAAGTGTTAGGCACATCTGGCTATGATTACTACCATGTGGATGACTTGGAAAAATTGGCAAAATGCCATGAGCACTGTAAGTACTTGTTGATTGTTAGTAATGGATAATTTTCTGATAATCAATATTTCAGAATTCTGTACAAAAAACTTTACTGTTAATTGTGTTAAATAACATAATGTATCATCGATCTTATTGAACATGGTGGATTAAAGTGGTGGTACAATTTGTTTTGGGATAGATGCTATTCCACTTGTAATATTAACTGAAAATCAGATTTCTAAGAAGTGTTATTAGGTAGATTGATAAGCACAGTGGAAATTAGTTTGCAATAGTTCTGCTGTCATGATTATTTTGCTGTAAATTGTGTAAGGTTTGGGTTAAAATGAAAAATGTAGGATAGAAGCTTATGGGGTCTGAATGACACGTGATGTGGTGAGAAATGTGGCAGAATCACGTGAGAAATCCAATGAGGCCTATCTTGATATTGGAAGCAACTGACTGCATCTTAAGGGGAGGCGATGGCCTAGTGATATTATTGCTGGCCTCTTAATCCAGAGACCCAGATAACGTTCTGGGGACATGGGTTCAAATCCCTCCATGGCAGATGGTGGAATTTGAATTCGATAAACATCTGGAATTAAGAATCTAATGGTGACCGTGAATCCATTGTCGATAGTTGGAAAAACCCATTTGGTTCACTAATGTCCCTTAGGGAAGGAAACTGCCATCCTTACCTGATCTGGACTGGACATGTGCCTTCAGACCTGCAGCAATGTGGTTGACTCTTAACAGTCCTCTGGGCAATTAGGGATGTGCAATAAATGCTGCTTGGCCAGTGATGCCCTCATCCCGTGAATAAATAAAGGAAAAAAAAAATCTTAACTAATTTCCAGGCATTGAAGTGAGATTCTCCCTAGACAGCAGTGAGTTACCTGTTAAGGGGGATTTTTGCTTGGCAATGACCTTTATTACCCATGGTTCTCACCTCATAAATATACTGTTTTTGATCATACCGCCCACCATGGGGAAACAGATGCTGAGAAACATGGTACTCAGAATAGGAACCTGGCGACTTCAACTTACTGTTTGCTCCAAAAGACCTCTGTGTTTGACCCAGGAACCGACATCTCAGGGCATTCTCCAAGGGAACCAACCACATGCTCCCCTTGTCTATGGACATTGACGTTCAACATGTGTTCAAGGGGAGTGGTCTTCGGTCAGGATGTCCTGGCACAATCAGTCAAAGAGCAGCTTGTGATAGCATTCCCATGTGTTTGAATGTGATTAATCAGCTGCTCTGGGTGATCAGTCAGGATCCTGCGCTTATAGGGGAATCAGGTAAGACACCATTTGCCCTATGGTCGGTTATATTCTTTCTGGAATAAGCTGGTAATTTTGGTGCAGATGGGGACTTGTGCCGATTGAATGAGTAGATAGCAGGGTAAGTGTTGTTGGTTTGGTGTGGGTGAGAGCAAGTGAGGGAAGATATTGCGGGCAATAGTGAAATTCATAGAGCATGAACCTTGGAGGGAATTGAGTACAGTAATACAGAAAGGGTGAGTTTGAGGTACTGAAGAGAACTGTGAGGCACTTGCGTTAATAGATTGGAGGTCATTGGCTTCTTCCTACATTGCTGTGCACTACTTCAGACACTGACCTGTGTGACACCTTCTGAACAGGCTGGCATGTTCTGGTGTTGTGGCCTCTGCTACCAGTCTTAGAAGGAGGATGTCCTGCCTCTGCGTCACCCCATCCAGCAAAACTGCAGGTGCTTGTCCACAAAATAGGGCACTAATTTCTCTTTTTCTTCCATGTCTGGAGCAAATATCAGGAACTTTGCAGGACAGCTCTGGGCTAAAAATGCTGTTCTGTATGCACTGTGGTCTTTTAAATCTACACAAACATCTAGTCAGACCCCACTTGGACTATTGTGAGCAGATCCAGAAACACCTTATGAAGGATGTATTAGCCTTGGAGAGAGTACAATGTAGATATACAAGAATGATACCTGAAGTTAATCATTTGAGTTATACAGCACGGAAACAGACCCTTCGGTTCGATTGATCCATGCCAAGCGGACATCCCAATCTGACCTTGTCCCATTTGCCAGCATTTGGCGCATATACCTCTTAAATCCTTCCTATTCATGTACCTACCCAGATGCCTTTGTTGTAATTGTACCCACCTCCACCACTTCCGCTGGCAGTTCATTCCATAGACATGCCACCCTCTGCATGAAAATGTTACATCTTGCGTCCTTTTTAAATCTTTCTCCTTTCACCTTAAATCTATGTCCTAGGAAAAAGACCTTGGCTATTCATCCAATCCATGCCCGTCATGATTTTATTATCTTCTATAAGGTCACCCTCAGCCTCTGACACTCCAGGGAAAATAGCCCCAGTCTATTCAACCTCTCTCTATAACTCAAACCCTCCAATCCTGGCAACATCCTTGTAAACCTTTTCTTTATCCCCTCCAGTTTAACAACATCCTCCGTATAGAAGGGTGACCAGAATTGTACGCGGTACTCTAAAAGTGGCCTCACCAATGTCCTACAGCTGCCACATGACATCCCAACTCCTATACTCAGTGTTCTGAACAATGAAGGCAAGCGTGCCAAACACCACCTTCACCACCCTGAATACCTACAACTTCACTTTCAAAGAACTATGATTGATCTTGTTAATTTATTGTCACATGAACAGGAGTACAGTGTAAAGCTTTGTTTATGAGCAGCACAGGCAGAACTTAGTTTGCAAGGATATACAGATGAAAGGTTGTAAAAAACTTAGGGAGAGACCATAGAGGTTACATTGCACAGGGCGTGCGCTAGACGAGATCAATGTTAGCAAGATCAGAATTATTTGAGGTTAGAGAGTCCATTCATTAGCATGATAACAGCCAGGAAGGAGCTGTTCCTGAACCTGCTTGTTTGTGTTCAGGCTTCTGTATCTTCTGCCTGATGCATGAGATTGCAGGAGATCATTACCGGGTGCAATGGTGGGTCTTTGATGATGCTGGTAGCCTTTCTGTGGTGATGAACAGTGTAAATGAAGTCCATGGATGGAAGGTTGGCTTCCATGATGGTCTATGCTATGCACACAACCTTGTGTAGTTTCTTACGGTCCTGGGCAGAGCAGTTGCTGTACCAGGCCATTATGCACCCAGACAGTATGCTATCAATGGTGCATCTGTAGAGTTTGGTGAGGGTCCCTATGGACATGCCAAATTTCCTGAGCTGCCTGAGGAAAAGAGGCGTTGTGACTTCTCGACTGTTGCATCTACATGGGAGTTTCAGGACAGGTGGTTGGTTATCGTCACTCTGAGGAATTTGATGCCCCCCGCCTTCTCAACCTCAGTTCCGGTGATGTAAATGGGGGTATGTTCTCCTCATTTCTTTCTAAAGTCAATGATCAGTTCTTTAGCTTTACCGATGTTAAGAGAGAGGTTGTTCTCGTTGCCCCACATCACCAAGCCCTCTATCTCCCTTCTGCATTTTGACTCATTGTGGTTAGATATCTGTCCTATTACGGTGGTGTTGTCAGTGAATCTGCAGATGGGACTGGTTCAGAATTTGGCAACACAGTCGTGGGTGTAGAGGGAATACAATAGGGGGCTGAGGACGCATCCTGGGGGCTGCAGTGTTAACTGTTATTGTAGAAGAGGTGCAGTTACCTATCTTCACTGATTGTGGTCTGTGGGTCAGAAACCTAAGGATCCGGTTGCAGAGGGCAGAGCCAAAACCAAGGTCTCATTGTTTTGAGATCAGTCTGGAGGGGATAATGGAGTTGAAGGGGGAGCTGTAGTCAATGAGCAGGAATCCTTGTTGTATAGGTGTTCCAGGGATGTGCATTGCTAGGGATATGGCATCCACTGTGGACCTGTTACATTATGACCTGTACCCCTAAGTCTCTTTGTTCAGCAGCACTGTCCAGAGCCCTACCATTAGCTGTATGAGTCCTGCCCTGGTTTAGCCTATCAAAATGCAGCAATCACATTTATCCAAATTAAACTCCACCTGCCACTCCTCAGCCCATTAGCCCATTTGATCAAGGTTTCATTGTACTATTGCGATAGCCTCCTTCACTGTCCACTTGTTGAGAGGTTGGGTACAGTACTTGTGAATTGGAAGGCAGGATGTTAGAATGTTGTAAAAATTATTGGGGAGGGTGGGGAAGAGTGTGTGGTTCCTTTTTAAGAGGTGATGTGCTTTTCTAAGCTTGGAGATTGAAACATGTGTATCAATTGGCTGTGTGGTTGGCAACCTAGGCTTGTTTTGATGTTGAGGCAACCAGCTTGAATATCAGCCAATTAAGTTAATCCAGGCACTTAGAGCATGAAAACCAATTGAATTTAAATCTGATGGTGTTAACAACCTGGGACCAATCCTATTATAGGAAAATTGACAGGTCATCAATGGTAAATAAGAGGAGGGTTTTTGAAAATCAGTGAGAGCAGACTGCCATTGGAAAAGTAAAACTCTGGCTGTCACAGAAAGCTTTTAAGCTCTCTGATCAAGCACCAGCTAAAAGGTACCACGGCACTCTTCGCTAATGTATCTTACACAAGAATTCGACGAAGAAAGAATTCCTGACTGAAGAACAGTGGAAAAGGCACAGAACATTCCGGAAGATGCATCCTAACTATAGATTTGAAGGTTTAAGTTTTAATTCATTTTTTTTCCTATTACTTTGGTTTATATAAATGGGATTTGTATTTATTAGAACAGTGTACCATTAGAATTTTGTTTTATTCAGGAATAGTTAGTAGTTGGGGGGAATTGTTAGATTCATTAGTAGTTCTGTTAATTTGATCACAGTTAGAGTTAGATATCGAAATTGTTACTTGTTGCTTCTAAAGTAAGTATCAGGGAATTCATTTCATTTAACCATTCCCTCTGTAACACCACTACACCTATTTTGGTGTCATCTGTAAACTTCTTAACCATGCCTCCCATATTCACTCCAAATAATTTATTTAAATGATGAGAAGCAGCGGACCCAGCACAGTCTGTGTGGCACACGACTGGTCACGTGCCTCCAGTCCAAAAGGCAACCCTCTACCACCACTGTCTG